ATGAACGACCTGGCGACCTGCCCACCGGGGCCGCCCGTCCTCCGCCTCTTCGCCTCATCAAATCAGAGTGAAGGTCCTGCCAGTATCAGCCTCGAATGATCGGCGGCGCCGCCGGGTTGGAGTGAGTACGGAGGTTTAACGTGCTTCCCGGCCAAGAGGGGAGCCAGCGAACGAAACGGCGACTGCCCGGCCGGCACCGCCGCTCTGAATGACCTGGCGGCCGGCGCTCCAACCGAAGCCGGCCTGCTGCATCTGACGTGTCGCGGCAGCTGTCTCACAAGACATTGCGGCCGGCACGTCGCAGTCTTTTCCGGTTCAGCCGGCGTTCGCTGATCGAATGCTCTCGCCTCGCCGGTCCTGGAATTTCTGATGGAGATAGAGAGGCTGCATTCTGCAGCGGGGCCTTTACAGTCATCAATAAATCCGAGGATGACGTGGGTCAACACTCAAGAATTTTCATCGAGATACAAAGGTGGCAGAACAGAACAGGCCCGTCTGCTGTACTACTTCCGTAACAAAAAAAAAATGGACGCAGTAACCAGCACAAGGTGTATGCATCGGCTGTACTTCCGTCACAAAATGGACGCAGCAACCAGCAAGGTGGTGTATGCATGTGGGATGAAAACGAAAACGATAATAATTTCTGATTTTCGGAAATCATTTTCGAGTTTTTTCCCTTATTTTCAGGCCTAAATGGAAACGATAGCGGTAATCGAAAAAATGAACATGATAACGATAAAAATAATCGAAAACAAAAGCGAAAACTATTTTGTCATCTTCCAACCGTTTTCGAAGATTGTCATATTGAGCCGGTAATCTAATTCAAAGGCATTGAATCCTAATATATAATGCATATACTTTAGGTCCAATTGACCCACATCTAAGCATTCCATCTTGCACACGCAAGCACATAAGGCAAATATTTTTTTTTGAAAGGAACTATACGGCAAGTATTTCATCCGTACAGGAATAAGAATGCAATCAGCCAATCATGTACTGCACCTTAACTCTAGCCGGTCACCACGAACACGAATGGAATCTAGGGTTTAGCTTGTTATAGACCTAAGATGGTCTAAACTGTGGTCTTAGCTTGTGGTCTTGCCAATTGTGGCTTTATTATTACTATTGTCATCTGAGATAGGTTAGTTTTATGGCTCGTCTCATGTTCTACGGTTTGGCGTGTTTATCGTTTTTAAGTATATCGTTCGCATGGATTCCGATCACTATCAATGTATTTTTCGATCAACTACTATCATTTTCGAAATTACCGGAATATCATTGCCGTATTAGTTTTCGACAATAGAGTATCGATTTCGTTTTCAAGAAAAAAATGTGAACATGAAATTGATTTGGCCTCCTATCGGTCGTTTCCGATCGTTTTCATCCACATGTACGCACTCTACCAGAATCTTAAAATAGTGCACCCTCTATAAAAAAAATGAAATCTCAGCTTCTTGAGGGTTAATCAATTCCTAATTTATAATTATATATATGTAACAAAAATTACTGATATTTATGATATGAGGTTTGTTACCGTGCTCGGAAGGAACCACCGGTTCCTCCATGCCGACCCTTTGATCATACAAAAAATGATTAATTGCAACTAAGGGTATTTTAGTACTTTGATTTCAGTCATTAACTCTAATAAAACAATCGTTCTCTTGCCGTCAAACGCACAATCTGCCACTCGTGCTTTTGCCCCGCCATCAAGCGATCAAACGCGGTGGGTGTGCACGGCCTTCGTCTGCCGGGCAACCATCTCTTTACTGGTGATTGTGGTCTTCCTGATCCCACCGGCGCGGCAGTGCCTGTGATGCCCACGACGAGGACATTTTCGCGCAGATCGTCGGTGGTCAACGCCTCCACCAGCGTGTTCGCGTTGTCCTCGATCTTTTCCCTGCTAGCCCGCGCTCGGAGAGGGAGGGAACTGCAGGAGACATGAGAGAAGGAGAGAACGCACGTGGACATACGAGTAAGGAGCAGACGCAAAAGTACTAATCTACCCTTCGAATATAATTTAGAATTAGTTCCTGGTCCATATAATTTAGGTTTCTGTCCATAACATATGGTTCTCTATATTGGTTCTTCTTATTTTATAACCGTAGATCTATTTAAGTTGATGACTCTTGTTTTTTAAGCACCATAAAATTTCTCTTATGATATTTAATTATTATCAATAGATTAATTATAAGATATATTTTATAATAAACTTTAAATATTAATATTACTTTTATAAATCCAATTAATTCAGGATAGCCGATGGGAAAGTGAGATTTTTTATTCTTTTTGGGACAAGGAGGAAGGGAATGGAAACACAGCAAAAGGGCCATCTCCCGATGATTGTCGCCATACCTCTCTTGATATCTTTCTTTCGTGACACTTCTTTTTGAAAGGGTGTTTTCGTGACACTTTGGAGGCAAGACAAGAGAACATAGCAGAAGTCAGATATGTAGTACAAAAAGCAATGCAAGTGTATTCCAAATCAGAGAAAACTACCAACTCATGTAGGTAAGCATGAAAGTAAACGACGATGTCAACTCATGTAGGTAAACATGGGATCGATTGTGGCGTGAGCGTGGCTGGCCAGGCGCCCGGGCCGGTTGCCAGGTGCGTGGCGGGCGGTGCGCAAGCACGATGCGGAGGACCCGAGCGCGGCTAGCCGGGCACAAGATGGTGTTCGTGACGAGCCCAGACAATGAGGGAGGCCGCGAGCAGACGACGAGCGTGGCCGGAGACTCACGGATGATGCAACAGTCCAATCCAGTCAGCTTTTATCGTTTTCTAATCACGCATACAAGTTTCCTGTTGGTGTTTGCCATCGACCTTGACGACGGCCTCGTGCTCACATCATGTGCCTACCACCGCTTCATTGCGCTAGATGCGGCATTATTTACTCCACACGCTAGCTGCTCATCTTACCACGACGAGGGCTGCGGCACACGTGCGACAAAGGTGCCGGCGAGTAGACGGTGAGGCCGCGAGGGCAGTTGGGCGTGTGCGCTCACGGCGAGCGTGTCCGGGCGCAAGCGATGCGCAGCCGCGGAGGCGGCGAGGCAAGCGGCCAGCGATGTGGCTTCGGGTACATGTAAGGATGAAAACGGACGGAATCGAACGGAGAACTCCTCAACCGTTAAGGAAAGAAGCAAAGAGAACGGGTACATGAAGCGGCCAGCGATGGTTTTAAGGGAAGAAGCAAGACGGAGAAGGGAGAGAGAGGATAAGCTGAGCCCACAAATGGTCTCGATTTCTGCGCGAGACTAGCATGGAACGAAAAGATAGACTTTTCTCTCATGCATTCTCTCTCTTCCAGGTCAGCAAAGAGACACTCTTAGAGTTGGGACTTGGGACTGTCCTTACCACATGACTATCTTGTCTCCTTGTTTTTTTTTCGACATATCTTGTGTCTTTGTTGTGTCTTAGTTGAGCAGTATTTTGAGTGGCGGGCTGCTCAATTAACTCAGTTTGGTCAAACGACGAAAGGCTACTAGGTAGTACACGCTACTGGATAGAGTTGCTGCGGCACTGCCGTCGAGAGGAACACTAGTGCACCGTGAAAGAATTTGCTTTAGAAAAAAAAAATTCAGTGAAAGAATTTGCTTGATTTAGGGCACTCACAATGCATAGTTTCTAGACATTGTTTCTAAGAGAGAAAAAAGAGCAATTAATATCCTGTGAAACTATCATTCACAATCCATAGTTTCCATAACAGTGTCTATACAAAGGATAACATAAATGCAACAAAAAAAAAAAAGAAGTAGATCAACTGTGACAAGCAACTATATAGCCTCCTTGCACAGTTGGCACAATATCTACATCAAAACTGGATTGGGCATCGCGTGCACACATACAACCAAACTGAGCCTCAAAACCATATAGTACTAGATTTTAACAAAATAGAGAAGCACATCACAGCTGTACGCATGCAGCACTTCAGCAGGAAGCAATATTTATCGATAAACCATACAACGACTGAACTAGCTTCTTCCCTCTTTGCCTACGCGTGATGACCCCGTCCTCTGCTGCGGCACGGGAGCCGCTGCCATCGTCGCTGGACGGAGTTCCGCGGGTGGCGTTGCCGAGCAGTCGCACGTGCAGGGAGCTCATACCTACGTCCTTCCGGTAAGAGCGCTGCTGCCCCTTCTCCATGGAGGAAGACACGACCTGTTGAACGGCAGCGTGACCTAAGCGCCGGCGCGGCGACCTGCGGCACGTTAGCATGCTCGACGGCACAGCGGCCTTTTGCGGCGGTGAGCGTGGCAGCGGCGGCTTGCGCTACGGCGGCGTGACTTGCGCGGCCTTCGCGGTGGCTGCCTGCGGCATGGCAGCTTGCGTGACGGCGTAGCAGCAGCGGCGACTTTGGCGACGGCGGCGTGGCTTGTGCGACCTGGAGCGATGCAACCGATCCGGCGTGAGAGAGGAAGACACGACCTGGGTCTCCCCAACGCGATTTTCACGGTTTCCTAGCATCTCGTTCCGCACGTCGACTCCGTTTCTCCTCAAGGAAACGGTTTCCTTCCTTTTCTCTCTCTTCAATTAATCTCTTGACACATGGGCAAAATATTTATGTTACAGCCTAAGTAATAAAACTATTATAAATGTATCATTGGGAGTGCCCTTACAGTTACCGTCAAACATTGGGACAAAATATTATCACTAGTGTACCGTGACCTGAGTTACCCTCGGTCCCTCGCTATCGCTAGTCCGGCCGGGCCAAAAGGGTCCGGTGCAGCACACGTCGGAGCAGCGAGGAGTGTGTTCGGTCAGCTAGCTGCCCCGGGTCCGGAGATCGCCATTGAATGCCGCCCCCAACCATATTTTCCACCTCCCATTTACTCCGGCCCGCGTCACCGGAGCCCCTATATCTAGGGCTGCTGCGCGGCACTGACTTCTCCAACCAACTCATGCTCGACAGACCACCTCGTCGGGGCCTCGCATTTATCGTGGCGTCCGTGTCCATGCACCAGCCGACGAGCGCCGCCGCCACCCAGCTTCACGCCGCGATGGAAGCGTCATTGATGTCGCTCTCGTTCCTGCAGCTCACCTTCACGGCGGTTGCGGCGATCGCGGCGCTGGCCGTCGCGGTGGCCGTCACGAGGTACAACCGGAGGTACATGGGCCTGAGGCTGCCTCCGGGCCCGCCCGGGTGGCCCATCGTCGGGAACCTCTTCCAGGTGGCGTTCTCCGGCAAGCTCTTCATCCACTACATCCGCGACCTCCGCAAGGAGTACGGCCCCATCCTGACGCTGCGCATGGGGGAGCGCACGCTCGTCATCATCAGCAGCGCCGAGCTGGCGCACGAGGCGCTGGTGGAGAAAGGGCGGGAGTTCGCGAGCCGGCCCCGGGAGAACACCACGCGCAACATCTTCTCCTCCAACAAGTTCACCGTCAACTCCGCGGTGTACGGCGCCGAGTGGCGGTCGCTGCGCCGGAACATGGTGTCCGGGATGCTCAGCACGTCGCGGCTCAGGGAGTTCGCGCACGCCAGGAGGCGCGCCATGGACCGGTTCGTGTCGCGGATGCGCGCCGAGGCCGCGGCGTCGCCCGATGGCGCGTCCGTCTGGGTGCTCCGGAACGCGCGCTTCGCCGTGTTCTGCATCCTGCTGGACATGACCTTCGGCCTGCTGGACCTCCACGAGGAGCACATCGTGCACATCGACGCCGTCATGAAGCGCGTGCTGCTCGCCGTCGGCGTGCGCATGGACGACTACCTCCCGTTCCTCCGCCCGTTCTTCTGGCGGCACCAGCGCCGTGCCCTCGCTGTCCGCCGCGAGCAGATCGACACTCTGCTCCCGCTCATCAGCAGGCGCCGCGCCATCCTCCGCGACATGAAGAGCTCGTCGCCGCCCGACCCCAACGTCGCCGCGCCCTTCTCGTACCTCGACTCCGTGCTCGACCTCCACATCGAGGGCCGGGACGGTGCGCCCACCGACGACGAGCTGGTCACACTCTGCGCGGAGCTTATAAACGGCGGCACCGACACCACGGCCACCGCGATCGAGTGGGGCATGGCGCGTATCGTGGACAACCCGTCCATCCAGGCACGGCTCCACGAGGAGATCATGCAGCAGGTCGGCGACGCGCGGCCCGTGGACGACAAGGACATCGACGCCATGCCCTACCTCCAGGCTTTCGTCAAGGAGCTCCTCCGGAAGCACCCGCCCACGTACTTCTCGCTCACCCACGCCGCCGTGCAGCCCGGGTCCAAGCTCGCCGGCTACGACGTGCCCGTGGACGCGAACCTGGACATCTTCCTCCCGACCATCTCCGAGGACCCGAAGCTGTGGGACCGGCCGACGGAGTTCGACCCGGACAGGTTCGTGTCCGGCGGCGAGACGGCGGACATGACGGGGTCGGGCGGGATCCGGATGATCCCGTTCGGCGCGGGGCGGAGGATCTGCCCCGGGCTCGCCATGGGGACGACGCACATCGCGCTGATGGTGGCGCGGATGGTGCAGGCGTTCGAGTGGCGCGCGCACCCGTCGCAGCCGCCGCTGGACTTCATGGACAAGGTGGAGTTCACGGTGGTGATGCACCGGCCGCTGCTCGCCGCAGTGAAGCCCCGAAACCTCTCCTTCTGATCGAACGCGTGTTCCCATGACTACATCATGTCAGCTAGCGTGGCGGTACGACGACGTCGCTCGTACGTGTGCAGGCGGCGGCCCAACTGCACATGCAGGATGCATCGCCGTGTGGCCAGGGGCTGCATGGTAGTCTTCATGAGTTGTGAACGCCACCATATTGTCGTGTACTTGTGTGCATGATGTGGGTGTGTACGTAGTAGTAGTAGTTCGTTCACGATGTATAAGATGGAACTCTTGTGTGTACTTGTATGTGTCATCAGTTGACCAGTGACCACCACAGACATTCGTGATGCATGGTATTATATTACTTGTGTTGATCACCAACCAAAGTAGGAGCACGTCGTAGTACGTGTTTAGCCGTTGGGACTTTCCCTCCTCTTCGGTTCTTCCGATCCTGATCATGACCAACCAGTTTATCACGAATTCGGTCCGGTTCGCTTCGCTGAAAAAACAGGTTGAAATACTGTTCCAGCTGATTTGTTGTGAGAGAAAAACACTATTCTAACTGAAAAGACAAGTTGAAAAGTACGAATTACTCAATCAATCCCAAATTGTAAGACGTTTGACTTTTATGACACCAAGTTTGACCACTCGTCTTATTAAAAAATTTGTGTAAAATATCACTTCTTTCGTCGTGGTTTGGTTTATTAATAAAAATTCTTCAAGAATGACTTAAATTTGACTATATTTGCACAAATTTTTTTGAATAAAACGAGTGGTCAAACTTGGTGTTAAAAAAGTCAAACGTCTTATAATTTGGGACGGAATAGTATAAGACAAGCAAACATGGCCGAACAAGCTAAATACATATCCGCTACAGTATAATAGTGAGCCATTGTCCAATGCATGTATACATATATGGTTGCTTCAAACCTTGTATGTCGGCTAAAACAATACCCAGCCCGTATGTATACACCATTCCTATCACCATCAAGTAGTAGCATAGATCGGCAATTGAATGCTAGCCAGCACAGCATCCTCTCCTACGAACCAACCATATTTTCATGCAACCACAGTGAGGCGAAAAAATTGAGAACAGTGTCTGCACATCATGCAGGACCGTGAAGTGTTTAGCTGTGTGCACTGTATCAGCATTATTCAGCAGCGTTGAAATCAGGCCGGACCATGACCATGCGTATACAGTGAATGAGGAATAAGACGTGCTTAGTTCTGGCAGATGGGACGACTAAGATGTCTGCCCAACCGTTTCTGCACTGGCGGTGTAATGTATAGTACAGGAATAACGAAGTGCCTGCGGTCTTCTATCTCTACTTATCATCAACGTGGCTGGCAAGTGCCAATTATCCTCGGAGTCGTGCAGTGTAGCGTAGGAGTACAGCGCAATCGTGTCTGGGAACTCTGGATATCGTGCCTGTTTGTTTCGCTGAAATTTTGTTTACGCCGATGCCGATGTTTATATTAATTTGTTGTAAAAAAATATTATTTATTCGTTAAAAAGCATTGCTGATCTAGAGCCGACGTAATCTTGGGAAACTTTTGCTGCTGGAGGTGGAAACTGTTTGCTTCGGTCATTATTCGACCTCGTACAAGCGCACGCATGTGCAGCAGAGCAAGTACTGGCAGAGGTACTGCCAGTCTGCCACCGCTTTTGCAGGGCATGGCGAGATAAAACCGGATCACGTCACGACCTCTTGCCGCTTCGGCAGCTAGCGCATGTACCCGAAATCTGTTGCGGATGCTTGACAGTTGGCCTTGTTTAGGGGCTTTTTTTTCACGGTTTATGTGGGCTTCGGCTTATCTATTTTGCGTAAATCGAGGCACTATAGCGTGAAGTCGTTTTATAAGTCGGGGTTAAAATGAATTAGAAGCTGGAAAAAACTAGTTTTTCTGGCTTCACCGGCTTTGGCTTCACCGGTGAAGCCATTTTACATGAGCCGTGCCAAAGGGGCTTTAGTTTCTCCTTAAAAATTTACGTCGTATCCTATTAAATATTTGACATATATATGAAATATTAAATTTAAACTAAAAAAATAACTAATTGCACAGATTGCGACTACTTTGCGAGACGAACCTTTTAAACCCAATTAGGCCATGATTTGACAATGTGGTGCTACAGTAATACACATGTTAATGACGGATTAATTAGGCTTAATAAATTCATCTCGCGGTTTACTGACGGATTCTATAATTTATTTTTTTATTAGTATCCGAACACTCCATGCGACACCCGATGTGACACCCAATATGACACCCCAAAAGTTTACATCTAAAACTCAACGAGGCCTTAGTTTTGAGTTTTTTGTCTGGAATTTGTGGTATTCTGGTATGTCCTGAGATATGTTTGCAATATGAAACTTCGAAACTATGGCAGAACTGTCTAATCTAATGCCTCTCAGGAATACTTGTCTTCCATTACACACTAAGTTTTCAAGAGAGAACACTAAACTACGTAGTTCCGTCGAGCACACCACAAGAGAGAGCTCAAAAATCCACATTTTTCCATTAGGATCATAAATGAGATAATAAAGCTTACAACATTGTTAAGTCATTTCTTACATCACTTTATTACAGTACCAGAATATTACCTCAATTTATTATAACAGCGGAATGTAACAATGTTATCAAAGTTACAGAGGAAGCATGATTAATTTAATGACATGGTGGAGCATTAACATAGTGGACATTTTATACAAGATGTGCTAGCAGATTTTACATCTTTTTTTATAAAAACCTTTAGTGAGGGTTATAAATAAACACTACGGTTGTAGCGGGAAAAGAATCCTCTCTGAGCCCACCAGGAGGTTTCCACACACAAGAGTCAGCTCTAAGCATCCTTCGATCACCTGCAATAGGGGAATAAAACCCCGAGTACTCGATTGTACTCAGCAAGACTTACCCGGCAGGAGGAAAATAAAAGACTTTAAGGATATGTAAGACTATCTGGATTGTGGATTATTACATTTGCGGAAGCATTACTAAATGTGCATCTTTATATTCAATTTCATTAGTAGTCATCATTAGTTCATTAACTAACTATTCTATATAAGCACCTGTGCTACTTTCAAGCAGGTGGTAAGCAATCAGAATCATTTTACCATCTTTCATATTTCAGTTCTTACTACGATGCTAGACCATAGCCAAGTCGGTACCGTCTCCCAGAAACGGCGATTCGCGAACAAATGTATCACAGCTGGATACCCCGAAACACACACCCCATTTGTACCTAGACACAAACAAGACCAACCCATTCCACTCTTGACACGGGCTCTAGGTCTCCGTCCAAACTTAGACTCTAAGCCCCCACACTTGAGACCCGGTCTTAGTATGGTGCTTAGACCTCCACCTTTCCCCGTCTCCAATCAGTCGGTCCGAAAAGAGTCGGAACCCACGACAAGAGCGTAACGAGCCTTCCCGCTCCCATAAGCAAGTATGTGCTCAGGATAATAAGTCTATGACCTAACTACCATCCACAGCAACGGACGGTCATCAATCGACACAGGCGGAACAAGTGCAATCCGAGCCTCGCTCGAATGCCTAACCAAGTCTAGATCCAAAGTACCATTCCGTCCGGTCTCCAATTATCATTCATATATATTTCATGTGACAGTAACAGTAATATCTTTCCTATCTCCCGCGAGTGATAGGTAATCACTCGACTTCTACCAGATCCTATAGCAAAGCAATTTACACGATCCTAACATACTAGTAGGACTCATAGGATAATGATATATATATATATATGCAAGTGATTTTCATTCAACTCCTTAAAACTTAATGCACAAGCATAAGATAAAGTACAGAATAATAGGGGTTATGCACCGGGGCTTGCCTGGGTAAGATATAACCAAAAGTTAGCATTCAATTATAGTGACAAGATCATCAAGGCATCAACTTTTCTGCTACTTCAGTCGACTCCATGATCCGTCGTTGTTTCTATTATGATATACGTGGATGCAACGTAGAAAACGTAATTAACCAACGGCAACTGCAACTCTTAAAATACGATTACGCTCCGCAAGCTAACGAGCTAGCTTTAATGACTAACGTACTAGTCTACGTATCCATGTTGTCGAATAAGGCGTTGTTTCCCAACAAGTGTTTTAGTTCTACAATCCCAAGATGTTTCGACATTTTATTGATTAAATATATATTTTTGAACTAGGGCTTATTTAGCTACCTTAGCAAACTAATTATTATGGAGCTACAAAAATTACCGTGAGCAACTAATAATGTTAGGAATTTACTGTGAAAATTTCAGAGCCAACACTATCAGAGATTAATGCGACTGCTATGCACACTATTCCTACCGTCAGTAACTTTGCAACCAAACCCTCAAATATTTTCGCCTTTACCACGGGGAGGTCCCTGGTACCCCCGCGCGCGCCGACGCGGCGGCCGACGGCACAAGGCGGTTACGCCGGGCAAACTAGGCTCTCTACGACGGAATTAAGGGACCGACCACCATCTACATCTAAATGCACAAGGACGGGTGGCGGTTAGGGACTCGGAGGCGCATTGTCACCGGCTGCAGCGGTGAGTGACTATCCACAACGGCGACGCGATTGTTCCAGCGAGTCTACGTACGCTCGATAGAGTAGAAGTGGCGGATAAGCATCAGTGGCTCACCATGGTGTACGCCCTACTGACGGTTGAAGCAGGGGATCACTGCGATAGTCTGGCCACGTGCGACCGAGCGAGACGGCGGCACTCTGCGATGGACACCGACGCATCACCCCACCGACGACGAGCACCCTGGCCAAAATAACGCGAGCAACAGATGGAAGGAGTCACGACGAACTCAGGGTTATGAGCAATTGAACTGTTACCACTCCTACAGGCCTTACCCCCAACCCTCTGGTCACGACGGCGCACATGATCGGTAGCGAGCAAAATCCGAAATTGGTCGCGGCCAGACCACCGCTGGACCCGACGAGGGTGGGGCAACTAACTAACTTCCTCCGCTTCTCACTGACGTGAGGAATTGAGTTGGGAAGCTTTGAGTTGGCTATTATGAAGGGAAGAGGGCGGCACATCAC